CAGGTTGCTGCTGCTGCTGTGGTGGCGGCTGAGCCTGCTGCTGCTGCTGTTGTGGATGTGGTTGCTGCTGAGCCTGCTGCTGCTGCTGATTCTGAGGCGCGATCTGGGCCGCCAAGTGTTCCACCCGGTTAACCAACGCTTGAAGCGCGATACCCTGTCCATGGATGGCGTCGACTAATTTGACGTTTCCGCCGCCAGCGCCAACGCCGCCAGCGCGAACGCCGCCAGCGCCGCCGCCAGCTCCCCCTCCCGCGGACCCGCCATCATTCGAATCCGTCATAAGGGTTTCCCGCTCGGTCACCTAAAGCCTTGTGTCTACAATAGACCGCGGTAATCTCTACAGCAACTCCCCGTTTCGTCTCACAGAACAAGTGTACTCCACTACGTCACCACACCTCTCTTCTGGTAACCCTTTCCTCCTCAGAAACTTCCCCGCTAATTCTTGTTTGCTTGCCACTGTACGATTCAGTCCCGCGCCACAAACCCCAGATTTCCTTCGTTCAATCTTACACTTTTTGAGACCACGCGCTCCCCATTTTTTGGGACTATTGAGCTAATGTGAAAAACAACAACAATAACAATAGTGATCGACTTGATAAGTCGCGAGGGAAGAGTGTGCTGTACCCTCCTCGCGATAAAAATATCTCAGGCAGGAACCCCAGGAGGGGGTCCAGCCCCCCTCTCCTATGTGACCCCGTTTGGGTCGGCTAGCTGGTAGAAGTGAGGGTAGGGGCCAGAGGGACAGACGACAAAGTCCAATGATGGGAGACGGAAAAAAACCAAGGCAAAAACAATTAGTTCGCCACAAGTGCTGCCTCGGCCGCCCTACTCGCTTCTACAGCAGTGCCCGGTCGCCCTTTTTTTCCCCCTCACCGCCGCTTCCCCGACTCTAATTCTCGTCGGTTCTGAGATTGCCGTACTCCCTGCTTCTGCTTCTCTCGCGCGCTGGCGCTTCGCGGACGCTTCCGCCTCCTGCCTGTGCCATTTCCTCATGAACCATGCCGCCATGTCCTCGACCTTGTTGCACCACACCTCCGGGTCCTTGGCGCTCTCTTTCCATTGAGCCCCTTCTTTTTCGTCTCCCATGTTGAAGGCCACGAGGTCCTCTCCTAGACGAGGCACCCAGTAGCTCTCCTGCCCGCCCCGGTATCCCACGCCCCGAGCCATCGCTCCTAACAGCATGCGCTTGGGGAGGCGGTTGTCCTCCATGCGCATAACAAAGCCCACGAAACATGGTCTTCGTTTGCACACATTTTTTATTTTTTTCTCCCATCATCGAACTCTGTCGTCTGCCTCTCTGGCCCCTATCCTCCACTTCTACTAGTTAGACGACCCAACCGGGGTNCGATAAAAATACCTCAGGCAGGAACCGCAGGGGGGGGTCCAGCCCCCAGCCTCCTATGTGACCCCGGTTGGGTCGTCTAGGTGGTAGAAGTGGAGTATATGGGCAGAAGTGGAGGATATGGGCCAGAGGGGCAGACGACAGAGTCCAATGAAGGGAGAAAAAGTATACATAAATACATGTTACTTTTTTTGTTCATCTGGCTCTCTGCCCATCTGCCGCCTCTTTGTCCTGTTTTCTCCGATACTCCCATGCCCTGATGCGTAGTGCCGGGTGCTGGTACGTTACCCTTTGTATTTTCTTTAGGCGGGTGTGGGAATCGTTCTCCCTTTTTTTCGTCTTTGCTTCGTTTTGGTCGATTCCCGAGGGCCCTTTTCTCGAACGGTCGGTGCGGTAGCTGTTCATTTCTTTCTATCATTTGATTTTTTTTCCGAGCGGTTTACACCCTGCTTCGATTTTTTTTCATTTCCTCAGTATCACACAAAAATCCGTCTCTATCTACAGAAATACGTATAAGATAGATTAGAAATGAATCCATAGCGTGAGCGAAAGGCTACCTGTTGTTTCACCGCGGCGTCGTATGGGCCGGGTTTGGAGACCACGGGCTCCCCATTTTCGGCGGACTTTAGAGCTGATGTGAGGACCAACAACAACAAAACAACACGCGAATTGGCATCCACAATCGCACCTCCGGCACCCTTCCTCCGACTCCGCGACAACAACAGGATTTGCGTAGATGCCGAAACGCTCCGGTGGCGGGTACAAGGTATGGTAATTATTCATTGCGGTGTAGAACGCGCATTGCATGCTCACTGCAGCCTCTACACGGAGCATAAGATGTATTTTATCACTATATTGTTGGCATCGACATTCCCGCTGCAAGAACGCGGCGTACTTGTCCTGTGCAAAGTCGTTTGGACGTTTGAAGCTGCGATAGATGTTTTTTTGCTGCAATACGGTAGACAGTCCTGTAGAGATTGTTTGCATGGCGGCAGCGAAGCAAGGGCTTGGTGCGGTGCATGTCGTGCTTTGTGTGCATGAACTACGACTCAAGGAAGGGCCTCCGGCTGCGGGGGCCGTGGAGCAATGCCTAGATGATGAGATTAGACCGATGTTCCAAGGTACAGTGCTCCACTACAGAGGGCGTGCAGAAAGAGGCCGATAGGTTGACGGAAATTCCTGGAGGAAGGGAATTCTAAACCACCTTTTTCGGTGTTCGCACGACGAGCGAGTTTGGGTATGGAGCATTCGAGCTTCGAGACGGGCCGTGCTATTCCTCCACCCCTCACGGTAGCTTTGAAACATCCGCTTTCATGTCCGGTAGCGCTGCCGACTTTGTTAAAAAATATTTTTCTATGTCAGCATGACCCAACGAACAGATATCTATCTAAGAAAATAGTCTAGGGCGGTTTGTTACGGTTTGAAACATTCCAGTTAAAAAATTGAAATTTTCAATTCCCAGCCGAACAGAGCTTCTTACGGTTTGGAAAATCGATTTTTTCGAGAAATAAATTTTCAACTCGGGCCAAAAAAATACGGAAACGCTCTGCGCAGTTGGGAAATTCAGAAATTTTCAACTCGCGACCGAGTTGAAAATCTAGTTGGGAATCCAAACCCAGGGGGGGGGCGTGCATCGCACAGACCCCCCACCACACCTGCTTTGGTCGCTGGAAGCACCCGACAGTGCACAACAGCGCCCCACAGCACAGCACAGCACAGCACAGCACAGCACTAGACCGGCGACGATCAGTTGGAAGCAACAGTGCTGTCAGTCGCGTTGGCGGCTTTTCACCAGATCCAAGAGGAGGATGGTTGCCGGCGCACAGCACGCTCGGTGTCCCATTGGGATGCTGTGCTGTTTGACGAGGATTGGGAGGACGAGGAAGTTGTCGGCTCGAAGGTTAAGAGGACACGACGCCTCACGCAGCGGAGGGATTGGCGTACCTCTGCCTGGTGGGAGCAGCTTCAGGATGTCGACCTCGCCGACCCCACTACGGCCGCTGCGAAAGTGTTTCGAGGGCGCTTCCGTGTACCTTACCCCTTCTTTCAAGAACTGGTCAAGCTGTCAAGGGCGAAGCGGGTTTTTGTCGGGGGAGAAGGATGCAGCTAACCGCGAAGTAATACCACTCTAACTGAAGGTACGCACGTCTACCCGTTTGTGCGAACCTCTTTCTGCACGCCTGACGCCTGACGTAAAGAGTAGTAGAACAAGGAGGGTCTCATGTCTACGGTAGCGACACTGTAGCTGGGGTTAGTAGACGGAACGCCTACGTGCTGCAGTACCCAAACACTTCTGCATGCGGTAGACAAGGCAAGACTAGGCAGATCAAGCCTCGCGCCTTCCTTTAGACTAGTCTATGCTGAAACTCTGTAAAGTTTCAGGTGTCTGTGCCAAGAGAAACACCAAAATCTCTGTATTGACCGCATCAGTGCTTCGGATGTGTCGGGTAGGTTCGTTCTTAGATTTCCTGTTTTATTTTCTGATATTGTACTTCGTGAACATCCTACAGTGAAAACGCAATGGCCCGCGTACTTGTTTACAGCTGGACCGCATGTTTGCCTCTTTTGTGGTGCCCTTCCCGGGGTGGTTGGGGGTTGAGTGTACTGGTTGGCACCAACAGTGCTGGCCTCCTGTGTGCAAGCGGTACCTCACCGCTCTCTTCTCGCCCCCCTTCCACCAACATGTACACCACTCCATTTTTCTCCAGATATTGGCGGCTACGCAGGTGCTCGGCAAGGGCACCTGCTTCGACGACGTAGAGCAGCTGTCGAAGATGAGCAAGTCGATGGCACAAGCAACGTTCCACAAGTTCCGCCGTCACTTTGCGGCGGAGATGTTCGACGAGCACATCTACCTCCCGACCGGGACGTACCTGGACGAAGTTATGGGGATCTTTCACCAACTAGGGTGTACGGGAGCGTGTGGGTCCACGGATGTCACCCACATTGGCTGGAACATGTGCCCCTTCACCCTTGGCCGTCCTTTCACGGGCAAGGAGGGGTTTCCAACCATCGCCTACGAGGTCACGGTCGACCACGCTGGACGCACTTTAGCCGTTGCCAACGGCTTCACCGGTGCGACGAATGACAAGACGACTATCCGGTACGACTCGGGAGTCAACAATATCAGAACAGAGTACAAACTTCGCCAAGGCGAACGGCACCGAGCGAACGCGCCGCGGATGGTTATTGATGGTGGACAACGGGTACCACGAGGTATGCCGGTGTTGCTTTGATGGGCCTGCGCATGTTACAGGCAGTTTATTGTAGTCGCTGCGCTTTCAGACGCTCGGGATATTTTTCAGATGTTCTTGTTGTGCTCCCGTTACACGTGTGAGAACACGCACACACATGAGTCTGCGCATCAAAGTCGGCTCCCAATAAACCCTGATATCCTCATTCACGCTGAGGCTTTCGTATCACAGGATGTCCGTCCCCAAGGACTTATGTGTAGTCCACCACAAGAATATCGTGGGAAAGCTCCCTTCGAGCGAGAGGGTGCTGATTTGGGTGCGGAATATCTGAAAGCCATGCACACAAAATGGGGCTTAGCATACATGGCAGACGCAGAGGGTTTGGAGCAACACCACAGCCTATCTTGTTGCACAAACTTCGAAGTACGTGCCGGTAGTGCACAGAGAGTTTCACTTGTGAGCCGTACTCGCTTAAACTGACCGTTCTCGTTTTTCGTTCGTTCGGCCCCTGTGTTGTGTCTATTTCGCGTGTACACCAGTGGGTAACCCTCATCGCCCTGTCCAAGTACCCGCAGAGCAACAAGGATACAGCCTTCCTAAGGCATCTTGAGAGTGCGCGAAAGGATGTGGAGTGCTTCTTGGGATTCTGAAGGGCCGCTTTAGAATCCTCAAGCTCCGCATGCCATACCATAAACGAGAATACATCGACAACATTTTTTTCACATGCTGCATCCTGCATAACATGCTCCACACGTTCGACGGCCTGGACGTATTCGAGGAAAACACGGACTGGCCAGGGAGCGCTGGGCACCTCGACGCCAGGGAGCATGCCCTCGCTCACGGACTACACTTCTGTTGGGTCGAAGGGAGTGCTGCTGCCACCGAAGGAGGGGGAGAAGGAAGAGTGTGGTGAGGGGGGGCACGTGAGAAAGGAGCGGCACCCGGACCATGCAGAGTTGAAGAGGCAGCTAATCGAGAGTTTTGCTTTTCGTTAGAAGATCAACGACATCACCTGGTTGTCGCGTCCCAAATAAAGAGTTTATACATATGTTAGAATTTGCCTTCATCCCGACTCGGTGTCATGGGGTCGTACGGTTGAACCGGGTGCGCAGAGCTTAAACCATGCAACCCCATGATGACTGACAGGTTGTTTTGTACAGATAGGTCTACCGTTCGTTGTAGGTTACATTTGGACACGACGTCGGCGGCGTTTTTCGTCTTTGTTTTTTGGGGCCTGCCGGGTAGATAGTCGCTATAACAAATAATCCGAGGGAGCCAAGCAAGGCATCGTCGAAGTTAAAAGCTATTCAGAGCATTTTTTGTTTCTTCCGTAACGGCACAAACCCCTTCGACGTTTTTGGCGCAAGAAGAGTCGTTCACCTCACCAACGCTCGATAAAGTATTTCTACCGTCGATGCTTGGTCGAGCGGCGTTACAGCTAGAAAACATTTCGAAACATGTCTTTTTGCACTCACGCAGAAAGTGTTTGAATTAGTACAGATTTTTCACGCATCCAGGCTCTTACCTAAAAAGGAAGCTCCCCCCCCCCCCCCCCCCCCCGAAACTTGCACCAAGTACGCACATGGACGCTGTTGAATTGGTCGAGATTTTCACGCACCCGGGTTGATGGTGACGAACTCCACCAACTTGCGTCTCCAGTCCTGCATTTCCTTCTCCTTCTTCGCCTTCGAATTCTGAGCATGCACCTCGTTTTTAAATTTTTCCCGGCTGGCGAAACCTTAGTTGCCCCCGGCCCCATCCATCGTCTGAAGACCACGCTTGCCTAAGGGGCCGTTGCTGGTGTCGCTTGTATCCTCGTCCGACGTCCTAGAGGGAGTCGCCGACGCAGATTGGGCGCGACGCCCCTGCTTCCCGGGGCCGGTAGACATGGCCACCTTGAGGTCAACGTCCTCATGCTTGCCCGCGGGACGGCCAAACAACGCGAATACAAGGCTGTAACTGTGAACCCGTCCTGATGGCCTCGTCAACTTATCGTCGTCTTCGGCGTCCTCTGGTGCTTCCCCCCCTCTTCCCCCTTCTCCTGCTTAATGCTGCGGTGGTTTTCAGCCGCCATGGTCAACGCCGCTCGTTCGCCATCCAATTGGGGCGATCAGCTGAATCCGCCGCGGGTTCAGGCCCCAAGGCACCAATCTTCGCTTCAAGCTTCGCTGCTCGAGTGTCTGGCGCCGGCGTCGACGCTACGTCCCCGTTGGCTCTTTGCTCAGCTTCCCACGCGGCCGTCTGGGAGGCCACCCACCTCACCGCGGCCGCGGACTCGACCGGAGAACCCTCTTCTTTGTCGTCTTTCGCGTTCCCCTTGTCCGCCCCGCCACCCGCCCCGTCCAAGACTACGGGTATCTTTTTGTTCTCCGCGTTGGCTGCTTTCTTATCGGTGGCACTTTTGGCGTTGTTTTTTTCGACGATGTAGAGCTGGTCTTGAAGTTGGCACCACTGGTCTGGGGGCTGCTCTCCTGACGGGAGCTTCTTGTCCGGCCCCAAAAGGCTAGATGACACACAAGGGTCGAGAGGAATTGGCCGAGAAAAAATTGAAAAGGTCTGAATGAAATGTCCTTAGTTCGTTATCATTCCCAGATATGTCACGGAATTTTGGCCATGATCTCTGTGCTGAGGAATTGGTGCACACGGACGTAGACATGTCGCTCTCGAATATCAGAAAACTTCCTTCCTGCCGATACTTGACTTGCTTCTTGTGGATACTCTCTCGTTACCCAATGTCTAAACCACATCATCTCGGTCAACACGAACAGCAATCGTCTCATAGGTACTGTAATGCAATATTTTTGGTTTCGTTTTCGGTGCATCTAGGTTCGGTCATCAGAAACTGGGATGTAGTAGGTGACACACTCGCAGCGCAATTTAGGAGGGGAGACCCTGGCCCGTCGTACAGCAGTGTACAATGTCTCCTTTACCCATCCCTACAAGCCTTTCTGTTCTAGACAACAAGCGGGTCCGTGCGCTGAAAAACAGTCTGTCTGGGCTGATGCTGGTAAAATACACCGAGTGCAGAAACAGCTAAGGTGCCGTCAAATGCTTGGGATATGCGCCCAGGGCAAGAGATCGGGGCACGAAGCAATGTTAAAATAAGGTCTCACCTGTCCCAGATGTGATGGAAGTCTATCCGGATCTCAAGAGCAGCTTGCAGATACTTGGGCCACAAATCGGCCTGGGTGTATAACTTCAGCTCTGCGCGAAAGTCCAGCAGAGGCACAGCAGCAGGGAGGGTACGGTTAATCTTTTCATTCGTAGCCCAGGTCTGCGTGAGAACAGATCAGACTACCGCTGTAGACTGGGCCGCGCCTCTAAAAGCCAGTCGTGTTGTTATGGGCACAACACGCTCTAGGCTGAGTCGCGCCGTTATTTTCATGTCTCAGGTCTACGCAAGAGCAGAAAGAATACTATTGCTGTAGAGAGTGAACCTCGCCTCCTATTAAACTCCATTCGCGTTGTTTTGGACACAACTCTCAGCGCAAGATAATTGTAGTATATCATGTTGCGTGTTTCTTATTGATTGGCGTCCTCCAAGTCGGTCTGTTCCCAGAGATTCATCGCGGCCTGTAGTAGTGCTGCAATGTGAGAGTTTCAAAGACGACAGGTACGTTCTGCATGAGACTGCGGGAACATGATCGTCATGTGTGTGTATGTTCCCCGCCGACCGGCTCTTTCCAAAAATTCAAACAAGCTAACGGTTGTCGTTCATTGTCGATCCGCCCATGATGTCCTTGGTCACCCACGTGGGCGTCTCAAGCTGAAATACATCCTTGAGGTACCTCAGTAAGGCTGGCACGGTGAAGCTTCGTTAGTTATCCCTCGTGCATTTCTCTCTGCCCTCCATTCGCATGGAGCCGTTCGCGCGCTTGATCACGCAGCACGCGTGCCAGATGACCGCGTTCTGAAGGATGTTGACGTTTTTGGCTGTCGCCTTGTCGCAACCGAGTATCGACCGCAGCAGCGCATCGGA